CGGGTCTCGAACCTGTGGGCTCAGGCAATCCACTCACCTCAGCCTCCCAAAGGCACGGGATTACAGGCTGAGCCACCGAGGCCGGCTTATTTATGGTTTCTTAATTGGTTTAGAGGTATGGTTTCTTAATTGGTTTAGAGGTGACAACTTAAACAATGGCTCCAAAAAAGATGAAACTCCATTTACCAAAACCAAATTAACTTTTAAAGCTCATTTGTTAATATAGATTTATCTTAGGCTAGTAAAGTGGCACTAAACTTGAAACTGAGAGTCTTGGGTGCTATCTTTGTCTTGCGGCTTACTGAGTGGTCATAAATAAGTCAAGTGATCTCTTTGTGTTCCAGTTCCCTTTTAGTAATTGAACTAACCATAGGAAAAATAGTATTGGCCCAAAATGCTGATCTGTTTCCTTTGACCCTGAAAACTCAAGAAACTCCTGTTAGGACTTCCTCAAATCAGTCAAATTTCCAAGTTGAGAGAGCCTTTCTTATCACCCCTAACTTTCTTCCTTCCTCGTCTTTAGGGAAACAGACAGAGCAACTGAGCAATATTTCGTGCTAAGCCTTAGAGCCAGGCAAGGGTAGTCACCTGCAGGGGCCCAGCAGTATTGACTTGGTATACCCAGAGAAAGTTAGGCTGGAGCCAGGGAGATAAGCTAAAGTGGCTGCCACTCTTCTATCCTGGCACATGTGTTCATCGCCTGGCATTTGGCAAGGTCATTGCTGGAATGGCAATAGGCTTGCTTCCAGTACCTGCTCCAGAAATAGGCTCTCCATGTAGGCACTGCAAGTAAACAAACGATCCACCAGCTGTTGCTGAGGTGTGTCCCTCCCAGGCAGACCTGCCCACCTGGAACATTGCTGGAGGAGGAAGACGCCCAGGAGTCATTCCCTGGCCCCGCCTTGCCGTGAGTCCTCCAACACAGAACAGTCCCAGCCACATAAAACAGCCAGTCTTTTCTTGAAAACTCTAAACTATCCCAACCAGTTTTGGCCCTACTTTGGTTATAAGACTTGAGAAAGGGCTGGGCTCGGTGGCTCAGCCTGTAATCCTAGCACTTTGGGAGGCCGAGGCGAGTAGATTGCTGGAGCCCGTGGGTTCGAGACCCGCCCAGGCAACTTGGCAAGACCTCGTCTCTACAATAAATCAAAAACTAGCCGGGCGTGGTAGTGCGCGCCTGTAGTTCTGGCTACTTGGGGGGCTGAGACAGAAGGATCGCCGGAGCCCAGCAGGTTGAGGTGGTGGAGCATGCTTCTGCACTCCAGTCTGGGTGACAGTGAGAATCCAACTCAAAAACAACAGCAACAAAAAAGGACTTGAGAAAGGACACTGCCATAGCAGTCTTAGGGTTGTGGGAAGGCCATTACTTGAGCCCGGGAGTAGGTAATTTAAAAAACAGATTCACTCATTTAACCACTATTTGTTGTGTCCCTGCCATGCTCTAGGCACTGTGTATGATGTTAAAGTAAAACTATGTCTTCCCACATAGAATGATGGAAGGGGAATAAGGCTACCTGATGAATGGGCCTACCTGATTAATGCTTTGGGAAGTCTAAGAACAGGGTGCTTTAAAGCACATGGGAAGGCGACATGGGAACACTAGGTCAGTGGGGGTGGGGGTAGGAGAGAGGCGGTATTAGGGGAGCTGAGCCCAGAAAAACAAGTAGGAGTGAGAGGAAATAGAGGAATAAGAGCATGGGGGCCAAGAAGAGTCCCAGAAGAGGAAAACAGTATATGCAAAGAGGCCCAAAGGCAAAAGAAAATTTGGAGGATGAAAAGTAGTTGAGTAGCTGGAGCACAAAGAGTAAAGGAGGAAGAGACAAGAAGTGAGGTTGAGAGCTGAGCACCATGGCTCATGCCTTTAATCCCAGTACTCTTGAAAGACCAAGGCAAAAGATTGCTTGAGTTCAGGAGTTCAAGACCAGCCTGGGAAACATTGCTACAAAAAAGTCAAAAAATAAGCCAGGCAAATACATACATACATACATACATATATACATACATACATACATACATAAACAAGCCAGGCATGATGGTACACACCTGTTACCCCAGCTTCCTGAGGATTGAGAGGGAGGATTGCCTCAGCCCAGGAAGTTAAAGCTGCAGTGAGTTGCAAGTGTACTACTGCACTCCAGTCTGAGTAACAGAGTGAGACTCCGACACACACACAAAAAAACAGTGCAGTTGGAAATTTTTGTTTTTTTGAGTTGGAGTCTCACTCTGTCGTCCAGACTGGAGTGCAGTGGCCGCTTCCGGCCACCGCAGCCTCGACCTGCTAGGCTCCGGCGATCCTTCTGCCTCAGCCTTCCAAGTAGCCGGAATTACAGGCATGCGCTACCACGCCCGGCTGATTTTTTGATTTATTGTAGAGATGAGGTCTCGCTGCCCAGGCGGGTCTCGAACCCGCGGGCTCAGGCAGTCCACTCACCTCAGCCTCCCAAAGGCGTGGGATTACCGGCTGAGCCACTGAGCCCAGCTTGCAGTTGGAAATTAATAAACAAGGTCAGGTGTGAAGGGCTTTATAAACCACGTTAAAGAGTTTGGAATTCATTGTGGGGAACAAGGAGCCAATGTGTGATTTTAAGAGGGGCAGTGACAAGATCAGATTTGCATCCGGAAAGATTTTTATAGCTACCATGGGCTTGACATAATTAAATTGATCATGGTCATACAAATTATTCACACTTGGCAATAATATGTCTATATGAAATGATGCAATCAGAGGGCTCATGGTTTTTCTTTGTATTTTCTACCTTGATTGTTATTTTTTCACTGTTACAGAACAAATGGAATCATTTATGGCAGATTGAATTTTCCAAAGATGACCACATCAATATATCATATCCACACATTCATGCTACGGTGTGATGTGGACGCTCCTCCATTGAGATATTGGGTCATTTTCTCCTTTTGAACCTGGGCAGACTTGCTAATAGAGTACAGCACAAATAATGTGACTTCTGAAGCTAGGTCATAAAAGCATTCTACCTGAGGGATCTGTTTTTCCTCTCTGTCTCTCCTATTTCTCCTTTTTCTCCTCTCTCAACATGCTCCTTGGTGATTCTGAGCCGACATGTAAACAGCCACAGAGATAGAGATGCCCAGGGGGTCCCAGGTATTTGAGTCTTCCTACCCCAGGCATCAAACATATACATGATTCAAATAATTTCAGCCCCTAGTATTCAAGTGGCACAGAGACAAGCTGTCCCTGCAAAGCCCTGTAGCTTCGTGAGCACAATAAACGTCATGATTTAAGTCACAAAGTTTTGGGTTGATCTGTTACTCAGCAATAGATAACCAATATACCATGATCTAGTTTTCAGACTTTATACAGTTAATTTTAGCTATTTTGTTTTGCAGTCCCATCTAGTTTGTCATGGTTATAGAATTTTAATACTAGGCTGGCTACAGTATGGAGAGGGGCAAAATTGGATGCAGGGGACCAGCTGTGAGGTGATTGCAGTTGTCTAAGAAAGAGATGGTAGTGATTTGAGGAGTTTTTAGTTTTTCCACTTGGGATGTAGAATCGTGCAAGAAAATGTCACTCCCATTCTAACAACGTGAAAAAGTGGATAATCTACAAAATTGTAACTTTTCTTGCACCCATCTGAAAGCTGAGGTCACAAGGCAATTGAGTAAAGCCCCTCCAAAACAAATAGCCACACATTAACCGTTTCAGCTTTGGCAAAGAAGTGGTTCTCCTTCCAAGTGGGTAAGAAGAAGCCAAGAAAAATGTTAACAAAATGTTAAAGGCAGCCAGGCTCCGTGGCTCAGCCTGTAATCCCGTGCCTTTGGGAGGCTGAGGTGAGTAGATTGCCTGAGCCCGCGGGTTCGAGACCCGCCTGGGCAACTTGGCGAGACCTCATCTCTACAATACATAAAAAATTAGCCGGGTGTGGTAGCACGCGCCTGTAGTTCCAGCTACTCGGAAGGCTGAGGTGGAAGGATCGCCAGAGCCCAGCAGGTGGAGGCTGCGG